GAGACTGAGAGGTTAAGTTACTGGCCCACTGTCACACAATGAGAAAGTCTCTGAGACAGAACTTTAGCAGGCATGACTGCACCTTCTGGGGATGCAGATCTAGGAGGGGACCCATTCATCCCCTCCTATTATGGATCACTGTGTGCTGGGACCAGCTTTCTCCCCAGAGCACTCATTCTTGTTACATACAGAAGGGGTTGCCCTCCCTTGCACAAAAGGCCAACAACAGCCAGGCTGCAGCACTGGGGCAGGTTGCTGATGTTTGCCAGCTCGAAACAAGTTTAGATGCAGTGCTTTCTGTGCTCAGGTAGGAGACTGGGATTTCTGGTGGAAATAAACTGCTGAGTCCTACCCTTGAGGCTTGAGAGGAAGCAGAGGCTCGAGGCTCACACAGAACTATCCTACTATGGCAGAAAAGAATCAAAATATGGGAGGCACACATGGCATTTTGTAGACAGTCCAGTGCTGAAGGCCAACGCAACATAGATAAACAAATGGAAAATTAAACTGATACTAGTCTGACAACAATAGACTGTTTGGCAATCTTTCGTGTATAGACCTCCATAGGTAGGGCTGCAGACAATTTAATTGTTCAGCAAGCATTTATTAAGCATCTCTTGTGTGCCAGACTTCGTACTAGACACTGGGATACAGATGCCAAAAGAATCAGATGATAGAATCTCTGTAACTGGAAATTTCAAGAGATACAGGAATACTTTTATAAGAGAAAAAAGAAAGCTTTTTAAGTATTGGCATTCACTTAAAATTGAATAAATATTAAGCGCCTACTATGTGTAAGGTATTAGGAAAGATACCTTCTGTGGAAGAGGTGGAATTTGAGCTAGGATTTTAAAAGTGGCTAGAATGTTAACATGCAGAGGTTTTGGAGGAGAGGTGTGAGCAAAGCCCTGGAGGTGGGAAACCTAGAATATGTTTTGAGGATAGACTGTAATCCAGTTTGGCTGACAGAAGAGTGCCTGAACTGGAGCAGTAAAGGAGCATTTGCTGTGGCTAGCACATGGGTTGGGATTTTTTTTTAAAATGCCACTTTAAGGATATCCAAGGATCCATCCATATTATTTTGTTGTGCCAGAGTAGATCCTGAGTCCCCAGGCTTATAATTTACATATCTGCTTATAATTAAACATCTTATAATTTAAATATCTTGGGAAAGAAGAGTATCATGTAGTTGGATTTTTCAAATAGATGTACAACCAAAACAAAGAAGGGCCCTGTCATATTTAATATTTTTAGTAGAAAGCAACCCAAATTGGGGTCAGTTCTGCTACATTATTACTATATGACCTTAGGCAAGTCACCTTCTCCCTCCGTGCCTCAGTTTCTTCATCTATAAAAATGATTGAACTAAATGATCTCTAAGATCCCTATAGCCCTGAATCATCTGATCCCATGAACTCTTATTTATTTCCTTCCCTCACTACTCCAGGTAATGATGCCTGGAATAAATAGTTGGTTTTTTGTCATCCCTGGGAATGACTTTGATTCTCAGCAGTTTTGCAGTCAGAGAAATCAGAATCAGTGCCAATCCCCCCCCCCCGAGCTAGAAGGAAGCCTGTAGTGTGATGTAGTGCACCTCCAAGGTATACTTAACCAACATCTGACCCCTCTGTGCATTGCTTCCAGAAAATCATCAGGCTACGCTGCTGACTCACTGGCATTTATTGGATCCATCTCATTGCAGAGATTCATCTGTAAAATGATGTGGAATAGCCCCGGAAATTATCCCAGGGCAAGGGTGTGACCTTGGGCTCCAGCTAGCTGATGACTTGAGTGTCCGTGTGTGCATGTGTGCCCTTGGGAGGGTTCCAAAATTGTACCTAAACCCCAGAGACTCCCACAGTCAGTCCCCAGTAAATGCATTGGCTCTGTGCTTCGTCCAAGGTCAAGTGGAAAGGTGCCAGCCCCTGTGCTTTCCCAGAAACCATTCAGGCTGCCATTTTAAATATGGTACCTCTTCTATGGCTCCTCTCCCCATCCCACAGTATATCATCCAAAAGAAGTACTAGCTTGGTTCTTCTTTGCTAATTGCTGCCCTCTAAAATTAGGTCACTTTGGGATGGGGAGGGGTTGGAAATAGGGGAGGCCGTTTTAGGAGAATTATTTTGTTAGCTAATAGAACTTTGCCCAGGATATTCTCTCACCATGTCCCTGAGTATTTCTGCTTTGGTCATCTCTTCTGGGGGGTGGGGAATAGTGTTGTTACTGTGTGCTAACTGATCTCCTTCAGATGGGAAAAGGAGCTTGTCACCTTTGAGTTCTTGATGGCCTTTGAATGTCTGATTAGAGAGTAGAGGGTTACTTCTTACCCTCTGCCAACTGCTGGACTTAATAGGCCCAGAAAAGGGGGCATAATTGCCTTTGGGCTTTGCTCACTAAATTTGATCCCCTTCCATTTAGCCGACTAACCCTTCATACTTTTTATTTTTGTAACCAGCCGCTTTCACCAGGTCTAAATAATCATTATACCGCCACACTTCTGCTGCCTTTAATATCATTTAAGAAAGGCAGGCATAAGGTAGTGGGTAGAACTGGCCTAGGAGCCAGGAACGCTTGAGTTCAAATGTGATCCTGGGCAAGTCAATTAATCTCTCAGTGCCCCCAGGCACTTTCTAAGACTGGGAATTGATGGTGATCTGCCGTATCCTGGGAGTTTTCTTCCCTGGGAGTTCCCTTTGCCAGTGGAACCATTGGTGTAGTCGTTCTTTCCTTCTTTCTTTCTATCTATCTATCTATCTGTCTATCTATCTATCTGTCTGTCTATCTATCTTTCCTAACCTGTCTTACCTATTTCTATCATCTTTCTATCTATATCCTCTCTTTATCATCTATCTCTATCTCTAACATTTATCTTCTGTCATCTGTCTATATCTGTCCACCCATCCATGTATGTATATGATACATATACACTCATATATAGTTATATGTGTGTGTATATTTGTATAAATACACACACATAAACATATATATTAATATTAGGGCAGCAAAGTTAGGGCAGCAAAGTAGCTTAGTGGCTAGAGCACTGAGGTCTGGAGTCAGGAAGAGCTGAGTTCAAATTCAACCTCAGATACTTACTGGCTGTGTGACTCTAGACAAGGGTCACTTAAACCTGTTTCCCTCAGTTTCCTCATTTATAAAATGAGCTGGAGAAGAAAATGGCAAACCACTCCAGTATCTTTGCCAAGAGAACCTCAAATGGGGTCACAAAGAGTTGGACATGACTGAAAAACAACTGAACAACAAATATATACATACATACATATTTACGTGTGTGTGTGTGTGTGTGTGTGTGTACGTGTATGTATATATATATAAATTCAGTGTGTCTGAACATACATTATCTCATTGGATTCTGACATATATATGAGACACATGGTATTATGTCCATTGCACACATGAAGAAACAGTTTGATCTGCCTCTGAAGGACTAATTAGTTAATGACAAAGCCAAGACTAGTACCCAGGTCATTAGATTTAGAACTGACAGAGATCTTAGTGATTATCCAGTTCCATGCCTTCCTTTTACAGGTGAGGAAACTGAGGCCTAGAAAGGTCACTTAGACTTGCCTAGGATCACATAGCTAATAAGTACCTAAGATGGGATTTGAACTCAAAGTTATCTGACTCCTCATCCACCGTTCATTGCCTGATGCCATATTGCTTCCCTCTTGTCTATGGATCAGATAATTATTAGCAGTCTAGACTTTTCTGTTCCTATAACAGCTAATGCACAGTGAATAGGGTCCTAGGTATGGAGTCAGGAAGACCTGAGTTCAAATCCACCTTCTGAGACTTACTAGATGTGTGACCTTGGTAGGTAACTTCTATTTGCCTCAGTTTCCTTAGCTATTAGAAAAAAGAGTATAATAATAGCACCTACCTTGCAGAGTTGATGTGAAGATCAAATGAGATAATATTTGTAAAAGCCCTTAGCACAATGCCTCATACAAAGTAGGTACGATATAAATCCTTTTTCCCTTCCATTCTCCTCCCCAAATAATGCTTTGCTTATATAACTGCCTATTTTTGTCCAGTGCTAAAAAACAGAAGAGAAAAGAAAAGATGAGCTTTGCTGGGAAGGCTATTTGGAGCTAGCATGTGTCCCACACCTAGGAAATGGCATGTCATTATTTGCTCCTGGCCACAGGTTTTTCAAACCTGACTTCTGGGTTGCAGCATAAGAATGCCAGGGAGGTCCCTGGCCCCCAAGAAAGGTACTCTGCATTCACTTCACTATTCAAGAAGAGAACTCTTTAATTTAGGAAACAAAAGACTTAGCTTCACAGCGAATCAGTAGCAAGATGGCCTTGTGGCTTCCAGCCAAGCTGAGCCATCACTCTACCAGGAACAACTTGTGAGTAGCAAGTCAGATTTGGGCCTTGTTTCACTGCCTGTTTCCAAAATGAAAATCTCATATCCTGTCTAACGCAGAATCTATTTGTCAAAGATAAAATAAAACACTTTTTTAGAATGTAGAAGGAAAGAAAGCACCATGAGTGCCCATTGCATTCTGCTCTAAAGGGAAGTACACACTTTGTAAGCACAGAATTTACCTAAGAATGACTCAGATCTTATTTAGAAATCGTTTTGCTTTGATCTCCTAAGGTCAAAGATCTGTGTACCAGTAGCCCGCGTGGATAGTGTTCTTCCTTGTCTCAGGCCCCTGGAGGGGCAGAGCTTTTGGTGGATTTCTTATCTGTTTTTTTCTGTTGTTTACCACTTTAGGAAGTTTTAAAATTTTGTTTTCCTAATTAACTAATTTTAAACCAATTTTCCTAATTAAGTTTAAAAATGTGGCTTTCCTAACTAACACATGAAATTTGCATAATTATTATGATATCTCCCCTGGATGAAAGGTAAGCCTGAGGGCCAGATCCTAGTGCCTGGCACGTAGTAGGTGTTTAATGAATAAATACCTGTTGATGAAGTGATCACACAAATGGCTGCATTTTGAGTGACCCTTGTTCTCTGCTCTGTTTCAGACCACAGTCATTGACTATGTAAAGCCCTCAGATCTTAAGAAAGACATGAATGAGACCTTCAAGGAGAAGTTTCCTCATATCAAATTAACTCTCAGCAAAATACGAAGGTACTGTGAGACTGACATCCTCATGGCATTTCTGTGACATAGCCCCAGCATACCACTAAAATAAAATCTTTGGTGGGCTGGTGACTTTTCCAATTGCATAGGTGGGGTTATAGGAAAATGTCATTTAAGCAAATGAGTGGTTCTGTGATAGCTCTGATCTTGGAGACCTTATGCAAATTAATTTCCAAGGAAGGAAAAAAATTAGGTGTTTTGCTTTCATCGATGCAACCTGAACGATCTAGACACACAAAAAAGGAGTTGGCACATAAAGGATTGACAAGAGAAAATTGTTGATGGTTCAAGAAAGGATAGGCAATGGACCTATGATTTCCATGGTAGGAGGAACTTCTGCTTATTTTGGTCAATGCTTAGAGTCTTAAGCAGGTGCCTAAAGTACCTTAGGCAGGCTAGTCTGGAGGTGAAACTAAAAAAGATAAAAAATGGAAGTGTGCGGCCACCAAGTCAACCATAATTTGGTCATTTCTTATATTTGGCCATGTTTTAGAGTCTAATTTTCATGAGATTTGAGTCCACAGTACAGTCATCAAAATCAGCTAAAGTAGCTGGGCCCTGAATATCAGCAACACCAATATTTTAAATAATTTTGGCTTGTTTAGGTTTTACAATTTACAGAGTTGCTTGTTCACACACACACACACACACACACACACACACACACACACATATAGACACACATGGTAAACACATTCTTATTGTGTGTATGTTCGTCTGGATTTCTAATGGATCCACATTTTGCTAGAATGTTCCCCTATGTCATGTTGAAGTCATGTGCCTGTGTTCTACTCTGATAATTAGTCCAGCACAGGTGTAATTCTGTCATGTTTACCTAAACCACAAGGCTAATAAGCCAAAACAAACATTCATACCTTCTACCCTGGGCCAAAGAATTTTTATAAATGCAAAAGGTTCACTTTTAGAATAATAACTTCTTAGCTCTGGTTGATTACCCAGACAGCCACTGGGTGAACTTATGCTTAGTGCTAAGGTTTATTTTCTGGCTTGGTTAGGTTTAAATGTTTCTGGCTTCTCTAATGCTTTCTTGTCCCTGTTCACTTTGATTGAGTTCATTCTGTGTTTACAAAGTGTCTGCCATTGTTAGGTTTGAGTTAGTTACCCTGGAAGTTTACTACACAATCCGGCTCGTTATCCCTATCCTTCCTCTTGCCCCAGTCTGTTTTCATCTTCATATAAGAGGATATGATGGCTGTTGTCTAGGTCTGGAAGAGGTTTAAAAGTCACATCATCTTCCATTTCCATTTTTGAAATATGAAAAGGAGACATATCTATTTTCACCCTGTCTCTTTAGTGTTTCCTCCTTTGATGCTTCGCACATCTCGCAGAGATGACTGGAGGTTTCTGAAGCCTATGCCCATCAAGTCTGAGCTCTGCCATGTCCTGCCTCACTGGAAGGACGTTAATCTTGTTTTAGGACAAGCCTAACTGAGTTCAGAGAGGCTCCTCAATGGGTTGGTCACAGGGTAATACGTTATTTAGGCCACAGAAACTCTCAGACTATCTACCAATGGTTTGAGAACCGGTATTATATGGCATATCAGTCATACTCAGCAGCTAGGTAGCACCGTGGATAGAGCACCAGGGCTAGAGTTAGGAAGACTCATCTTCCTGAGTTCAAATCTGGCCTCAGACATTTACTAGCTGTGTGACCCTGGGCAAGTCACTTAACTGGAAATGGAAAATGGAACTGGAGAAGGGAATGGCAAACCACTCTAGTATCTTTGCCAAGAAAAGCCCAAATGGGGCCACAGAGTTGGAAACTGAAATAACTGAACAACAATAAAAATTGTACTGCTAAAGGAAGTATTCATACCTATGAAATCTGAGATCTTTGAAGTATCAAAGTATTAAGTACCTTCAGTAACATTCAAAAGAAACTCCCTCCATCTAGATAGCTAAAAGCTACATAGGACCTAATATATAAGTTCTAGAAAGTAGCCTGAGGTTAAGTGACTGACTTAGAGTTATGCAACCAATAAATATCAGAGGTAGAATTCCAGTCCATTTCTTTTTAGGGAAGAACCCGACCCTCTATTACTCTATATAAAGCTGCCTCTCTTAATTTCAGCAATAGAAAAAAGAATGCATTAGTATTGGCCCCATAAGTCATACTATTAACAATAATCATACTAATGCTACAATAATAAATTAATAATCATAACAGAAATACTACTGACAATAGCTGAGGTTCATCTAGTGCTTTCAGGTGGATAGAGCCTATAACATATATCCTTGGGTAGTGGGGAAGATACCTGGTGTTGGAATCAGGGGGCCTAGGTTCCAGCCCCACCTCTGACAGCTACTACTACTTAACGTGACTTTTTTTGATTTTCTCCCATGTAAAAAAAAAAAAAAGGTAGACATGATGTCCCCTGAAGTCCTGGTGCTCACAATAGCCCTTAAGGGGTCCAGTACAGGAATGGCTATATCCATTTTATGAATGCATTCTTCACTTAACAGGGCAAAGAATTCCCAAAGATGTACTCCATTGCAGAGTGTCTTTGGAGGGAAGTCAAGAGAAATCGGGACTTACTTGTCTTTCCCCTTTGCCAAGGACTCAGGTTCCAGGCTGCTGACAAGGCATGTTCCCTGTTTCCTTTCTTTCTCTAGTCTGAAGCGAGAGATGAGGAAACTGGCACTGGAGGAGTGTGGCTTCGAGGAGCCGACGGTGGCCATGGCCTTTGTCTACTTTGAAAAGCTGGCCCTCAAGGGGAAGCTCAACAAACAGAACCGGAAGCTTTGTGCTGGGGCCTGTGTGCTGCTAGCTGCCAAAATTGGAAGTGACCTCAAAAAACACGAAGTCAAGCACTTAATTGATGTAAGTGGCCTTGGGACACAGTAGCTGGTGTAGGGCCTATTTTTAGTTTGGATTAATTAATGGATTAATCAGTTAATGAAAATTAATCCATCCCAAGGATTCTTCAGGTATTCTGAAATCATCTTAAATATTTATAGAAACCAGAGCAACCTGTCAGATGGGTTTCCTCACCTGGGAATTAATAGATATGGGCTGGGAAGCTTTTTTTCTCTTTCGTCAATGACAAGAATTTATTAAGCACCTACTGTGTTTCCAGGTAGATGAGGACAGTCTCTGCCCTTGAGGAGTTTCTAACCATGTCATATAGAAGTGAGGAAGAACAATTGGGGGGTAAAAGGGTTAGGTAGAATTTACTTTGGCGGGAATAAAGGAAGAAACCCAGCCTTTATTCTTGCCATAAAATTCCCCAGAACAGGGAGCCTGCCAGGCTCAACAGGGGCCTACAAAGTCAGAATGTGATCCAAATAATGGTTGACAGAACTTGATGGTTTTCCTGCATAATTGATTGCTTATCACTGAGGAAAGATTTAAAGTTCAGGGCTATAGCCGCCCCCATAAAGGAAAGGAGCCATTAGAAGCAAAAGAAATAGAGAGCGTCTCTGAGGCCCACTTGGGCGGTTACTGCCTGAACCATCTGTATGGTGCAAATTGGGAATGGGGGGCCTGGGTTCAAATCCTCTGTTCCTTACTGTGTGCCCTTGGGCAAGTTGGGGTTGTACCAAATGATCACTGATAGCTCTAATGAAATGTAAATCATGTTGTTGAAATGTTCAAAGTATTATTTCTAATATATCTGTGTCTTATCCATTTATTCATCATGTGGGAAGATTCTGAGAGGGTCACCTGCCCCCACCCTACTACAAGTATTCCAGGGCCACATGGCTATGCTTATAGACGAGTAGTAAATTTAGCATTAAGAGACTTCCATAGACCTTCCTTGAATGATATTGAATGAATATTGAAAAATGCAAAGTGGAAATAGGCATACTTAGAAATGACATAGTAATGTACCACCCAGCATAAAGCTCATATAATCAGTGTAGAAGCAGCTTGCTTCAGCAGTTTGCCTAATGAATTCCAATCTAGCAGTAATCTGACTCAGGCAGCCAGCTGCTCTTCGGGCTGAGCTTTCTTACATAAAATATGCCAAAGCAGAAAGCAGCGTAGTTAGAATTTTTAAATATCTTCACCAAAAAATCCAGGGATGTGCTGATAAATGTTTAACAACCAGCTCTCTAAAAGTAGGACACGTTTTTCACAGTTTAATCTGCTTTTTTTTTTTACATTTTCTCATCGCTTTCTTAAGTCTAGGCAATCAAAACAAATCAAGCCCTGGTTTTTGTAGCATTGGCCGATTTCCAAGGTATAAAGGCACACATTGAAAATTTAACAGTCTGCTCTAGGGAGCCTGAATCAACACACCCTTGGGAAAATCTTCCCTGATGACTTTCATCATCTTCATTGCTTTCCCTATAGTGGACTGTAACACTCTATACCACAGAACTCATAGAATCTCAGCATTGGAGACCTCAGTGACCATACAGGCCTACCCATACCTAAACAAGAATCCACTGTACAGAGCAGCTAGGTGGCATAGTGAATAGAGCTGTGGCCTTGGAGTCAGGAGGGCCTGAGTTCAAATCCAGACTCAGACACTTATCACTTACTAGCTATGTGACCCTAGGCAAGTCACTTAACCCAATCACCTCACAAAAAAAAAAAGAATCCACTGTATCTGAGGATATATGTTATATACTCTCTCCACCTTAAAGCACTAGATGAACATCAGCTGGAGAAGGCAATGGCAAACCACTCCAGGATCTTTGCCAAGAAAACCCCAGGTGGGTCATGGAGAGTCAGACAAAAACAACCTAGGAGAAACCTAGAACATTAACACTGGGGCTAAAATGCTTATTGTTTTCTTTCCTCCTGTTTCAGAAACTGGAAGAGAAGTTCCGGCTTAACCGACGAGAGCTGATTGCCTTTGAATTCCCAGTCTTAGTGGCCTTGGAATTTGCTCTCCATCTCCCTGAGCATGAAGTTATGCCCCACTACAGACGACTGATCCAAAATTCCTAGCACAGGCCACCCTCCTGGGGCAGGGGGAAAGACTGCTTCCTTTGAGGTCTGTGGAACAGCAGTTATGACTGGAAATGCAAAGACAGAACTCAAAATATACCAAAATTTTTTTTTCATTCAACATCGCTTTCTTCTGAAGTAGAAGCTGTACTAGAGACATTTCAGGGACTCTTCAGTCTTGTTCAGCCTAGATGAACTCATGGTAGCTCTTGACTACCCAGAGCAAAGGAAGAAGGAGGAACAAGATGGAGACAGTGGAGGCCCAGCACTGTCCCTGAGGAAATGGGCTTTTGGGGACCAAGTAAGGAATATTCAGTTGCCCATCTCAGCTTATTGAAATACAAGAGTCTTTCACAGTTTCCATTCCAGTCTTCCTTCCGGTCATCTGTCCACCTTGCAAACCTAGGCCAGGACCTTCTTTCCTTTACTTTTTCTATTGGCCTGTTCCAGCCTGGGGTAGGGGCAGTCGAAGGCAAAATGAGAGAGGACTTTCAGAGGTGGGGAAAAAGCTTTTAAAAGATATCTTCACTGTGTCAAAAAGAGTGTGCCAATCTATTTTTGTATTTGATATTGGAAGTGCACTTTTCCTGGGATGGGGGAGGGGGGACATAGTGAATGCGTATGTCTGTGTGCATGTTTATATGCACACGTATGTGTGTATGTATGGGACACTACATTCCTAGTCTCCAAACAGTGTCACAGTTTCCTTGAAAATGTAACTTTTGGGAAAAGTGAGCAGTGAGATCATCCTTAATGTTTCATTTTCCAGTCCCAGATCATTTATCCTTTTTATGCTTTTTTCCAAGATGACAGTTTCAGCTACTTCAAGTGTAAGAGACAAGTCAGCAGCAGACCACCCACTTCAGTAGTGTATTTTTGTTGTCCAGTCATTTTTTGGTCATGTCCAACTCTTCATGATCCCATTTGGGGTTTTCTTGGCAAAGATACTGGAGTGGTTTGCCATTTCCTTCTCCAGCTCATTTTACAGATGAGGAAACTGAGGCAAACAGGGTAAAATGATTTGCCTAGGGTCACACATCAAGTTAGTATCTGAGGCCAGATTTGAACTCAGGAAGATGAGTCTTCCTCACTCCAGGCCTGGCAAGCTATCCACTGTACCACCTAGCTGCCCTCAGTATTGCATGCAGGAAAGCTAAAATGGCAGGCAATTGGGGAATTCCTATTCTCTTTCTAAAGTCCTTTGTTATGCCCACCTATGCCTACGTGTATTCCACCCTGGCACTTTTCCAGCCTGGGAGATGGTCACAATCACACTCTGTCTTGTTGTATTTCTGTGCTTTATGTTAGAGTGTGTCCTGAGCACACTGGTTGTGCTATCTGTGAAACTGTTTTACACAGATCCAGGGTACAGATGAGTAAGGTTATAGAATTGGTGTCTTGGAGTTTTGAGAGCTGAGACAAATAATACAGTAAGCTTAAAATTGAGTTGGTGGAAATAGGCATTTGCCTTTTTTTTTTTTAATTTATTGCCATGTAATCCAGGAGCTACTTTCGGGCTCAATTTTCTATTCCAGCCACTTAGGCAACTTGTACTGAAGAACTTGGGGAAATGAACCAGAGGCCCATGGCTACTCTATCCTATATCACACAAAGACAGTGTGTCAGCCCGTGGGTACCAGAGGATCGAAGAAAGCTTTCTGGGGTCATGTAAAGAAAGAATTTTAAAATATTTATTATATATATAATATGTATGTGTGTATGTATATGCACATATGTCTAACCAACACCCCTTCCCAGTGCATTGCAAATTCATTTGTCATTTCTACCCAGAACCTTTAGAATTTGGATTCTGGTTAAGCAAGAAAGAAACTCAAAACTTCCCATCAGCCTGAGATGGGAGGTGGGGAATATGAGGAGAAATTTGATCAACAAACTTTGACCTGCTAGAGACTGAAGTGATTGAGTCAGAAGGGACCTGAAAATCACAGCAGATGTGGGGAGGAGGCATCTTCTTTGGACTTGGAGACTTAACCTACGTTTGCTCATTGGGAAGCAGGGCAGACTGATTTTTTTTTTTTGTAGTGGATGGACACAAGTTTGAGGTCACATGGGTCAGACCCATCACTTCAGCTGATTCAGAAATGGGGGAAGATAAGACCATCTAAACAACAGATATCTGTGGAGCTGTGCTGATCCCTTGCAGGTTAGGGACTACGGAATGCCTAAAGCATCAGTAGGCTCATGGTTCCTGGAGTACCCTGACTTTCTAACTCAGTCATTCTGTCTCAAATAGAAAGTATTGAGGAGTGTCTATCAGCAAAAAGAACCTCAACCTCAAGGTTTCTTGTGTTAAACTTGGAAGACAAAACAGTTTGGCCTTTCAGTGATGCAATCCCTCAGCCTCTCTCCTGGGTGTCTTGCTTCTGGATATGGCCCAGGGCAGGGCAGGCTGCTTCATTTGTAAGCAGCAAAGGCCCAGGCACCCAGAAATGTCTCAAAGAGTGGATCCCGTTGTCATTCAGTCTTTTCCCAGCTCCTGAACTTTGAAGGCAGACAGTAGGACAGGCACATAAACCCAACAAGCCAAGCACAACTGGGAGATCCAGCCCAACCCCTTGTTAACCTAGGCCTGCACTCTCATTTAACAACATACTAATATAGTTGACATTTGTATGATTTATTTGCTTTTTTATATTAAGGGTGGGAAAGAATCTGGTCTCCTTTAAAGATCCATTTGATATTAGAATTCTTTATTACATTCTGCTTTACCATTTGGTTTCATTTCAATTGGCTGGGGAGGGGTTGTTTATCTTTTAAAGGGGAGGAGCGGAGTTAGGCTGGGCAATAAGAAATTTTTAATAAGAGACATTCAATTTAATGAAAATCTATCACTACTTTTATATATATAGCCTTGGAGAGGAAAGGGGAGGAGACAAAGAGAACAGAAGTTGCCTCTAGGCAAATAGCTGGGATTTGGGGGAGCTGTGCTGCAGGTGATTGGTCAGTAATTCAGGAAAGCAGCCTGTTGGGTGGGAGAGGAGAGGAAGAATTGTGTCTTCTAGCTGGTGCTAAAAAAGACTCATACACAGATGAACAGTCAACCTATCAACACCACAAGTTGCATTATTAAGACAAAGCTCTCGTCCCACCCCCCCACGCTGTCCCAGGTATTCATTTTAGCATGAGTTTACCCGTCTAAAAACATCTGTGCTTAGAGACTTAGGATGTAATTGGTCCCAGCCCCTGCCTTATCCTCCAGGGATAGACCTGGGCTCCGTACTTCTGCAGCACTGGCTTTTGTCTGTTGCAGCCCATTTCCAAGTGACCAAGATCATCTAGCAGAGAACCCTCAGCTAAGAGTTAAGAAGCAACTTTATTCATGGCCCAAATAGCAAACTGACTGTTGGCTTATGGGAAAAGTTGTACTGCTCACATAGGAAGCTAAGCCATATGGGTGGGTGAGTGAACTGCCATTTTCAGGGCTTGGGTTGTGGGGGATATTGATGAGGAAGGTCCTACCTTTGAAATTCACTTGCCTTATGCTTTGGTGGTGTTATCCCCATCCTCTGGTCATCGAGCTTCTGGGGAGGGCCCCAGAACAGTAAGCCCCCATGGTGAATTTCATTCCCAGATTCATTGGCCTCTTCAGATGGAGGCTCCTCTGTCAAAGCACAAGGCTTGGTCAGTTCAGGGATGTTGGAGCCAGAGGGTTATACTCCTCCCTCCTCTCACCATCCTGTGACATCCTATGCTAAAAGCAACAGGAAATCGATTACCAAATGGAAAAGAATAATGTTTTCCTTGGCACTTTATGGTCAAAGGGAGTTAACATATCATGGTTTTTGTTTCATTACCCACAAGACTTCTAGGGTTGGTCACCTATTCAGTAAATGTTGCTATGTACCATAAGCTGTACCTTATCAGGTTTGGGCTTAATTTTTTTTTTTTTGAGGGAAGGGGGTCAAACTGCTTTCCCTCTTGTAACAGTAAATAAAATTGTTCAATACTAGACTCTTGGTACTGATTTTTTTTTATCTTTCTCTGAAATGTTTGCATTTTGATGCACAAAAAGCTTCTTAGTAACAAGTTCCTTCTCCACTTGAGGGGCAATTTATCTTTCCTTCTGTAGTTTAGCCAGAGGGCAGGAGAGCAAATTTAAGTCAGATGTCTGCCTCATCAAATATTTACCAGCTATCGGACCCTGGGCAAGTCACTTAACCTCTGTCTCAGTTTCCTCCTCTGTAAAATGGGGATAATAATAGCATCAATCTTCCAGGGTTGTTGTGAAGTTAAAATGAGATACTATTTGTAAAATGTTTTGCAAACCTTAAAGCCATATATAAATATTATGATTTGTATATGTACATATATATATACACACATATACAAATGATATGTGTATAACATTAAGGTATGCAAAGCACTTCACATAGATCAGTCTCATTTGATCTTCACAACAACCCTGTGAAGTGTTATCACCATTTACACATGAAAAAACTGAGATTGAGAGAGAGGAAATAATTTATTCAGGATCACACAAGTAGCTGAAGCAGGATTTGAATTCAGGCCCTCCTGGCTCCAAAGTCCAGTGCTGTATGCCACCTGGCTGTCTTTTGAGGGTGGCCATAGGAACACTTCCAAAAAAAAAATCTGTAAGGAGAAAATGTCAGAGGAAGCACCAGAAAATTCATCTCTCTTGGGAATGTCAAGGAAGTGCTCATTAGGAAAAGAAGTGGCCACAATACAGCAAGGTCAGTAACTAATACTAGCCCATATCTACACATTGGTTTTTAGGTTTACAAAACCCCTTCTTACAAATAAGTGTGGAAGGTACATGGTGCATGTTCTATTACTATTCTCATTTTACATAACAGAGATCCACCGTCAAAGAAAAGGAAATATGGACAAAAGATTTGGAGTGAATATCGGGAACAATCATCCAATGAGGGAGGTAGAGCACATTTACTCCCTTTTTTACATATGGGGAAACTGAGGCACAAACAGGTGAAGTGACTTGCCCAGGGTCACACATATAATAAGTGTCAAAGATGAAATTCAAATCTAGGTCTCTTCTGACCCAACTTGCAGTGCTCTTAACACACCATATTGCCTCTCTAAGGAATGCAATCCTGGCACCATGCCTATGACTAATGCTGACTTTTAGAGGCAAAAGAACTATTTCAGTGGGTATTCCTGTAACTGAAAGACAGAGTTCAGGAGGAAAGAATTAGAAACCTGAAAAATTGGTAAGAATGTGGTTCTTTCATCAATGATTCTTGTCCCACACAGCAGGCCTGAGAGAACAACACCAGAAAGGATGTGAGTTCAATAAACATTTATCAAGTACCTACTATGTGCCAGGAACTTTGCTAAGGCCTGGGGATACAAAAAAAAAAAAAGAAAAGAAAAGAAAAGAAAAAGGCTAAAACAAACAGTTCCTGACTTCAAGGAGCTTACTCTAGAGGTGGGGGAGGGGAGCAACAAGCAAACAAATGTATACAAAACCAGCTATAAACAGGATAAATGGGAAATAACTGAGAGAAGGCCCCGGAATTAAGAGGGGTTAGGGAAGTCTGCAGGAGGTAAGCTTTTAGCTGAGAATTAAAGGAAGCCAGAGAGATCAGCAGTCTGAACGCAGGAGGGAGGATGTTCCAGGCATGAGGAACACCCAGAGAAAATGTCCAGAGCCAAGAGATGGGGGTGTCTTGTTCGTAGAACAGCATCATCAGATGGAAGAGTACATGGTGGGGAGTAAGGTATAAGAAGATTGGAAAAGCAGGAGGGGACTAGATTATCAAGGGCTTTGAATGCCAAGCAGAGGATTTTGGGTTTGCTCCTGGAGGCAAGAGGAAGCCACTGGAGTTTACTGAGCAGGGAGGGCAACATGGTTCAGCCTGCATTTCAGGAAAATCACTTTAGTGGCTGAATGGAGGATGGATTGGATTGGGGAGAGACATGAGGCAGGCAGACCCACGAGCAGGCTATTGCAATG